AAACCCACCAGCCACTCCTCGGAAGGAAGGTTGGGCAATCCTACTTCCGTAGTGATACTGCCTCGGAAACCCAAGGAGGGGTCACTATGAGTCGGGGTCGACTCGACGGCACATAACAACAACAATTACCGCTACAAAATTCTTCCCTATTTCAGTGGAAATCTGCTTCTCTTACCTTCTACCCAAAGATCCTAATTCTGCTTATCCTGGAACAATACAGGGTAAATTAGCCTCTGAAATATAATTACTTCTAGAATTAGGGTATAGTTGCCAATTTGATCATACAAAATGCAAAAGAAAGTTTAGAAAAAAGAAACCACTATACACAACAAAACGTTGAAACTCAGGAAACTATATTGAAATCACACAAATCAGCATATTTTCAAAGTATCACAGCTCACACCTCAGTTAATATACAAATACTAGAGAATAACTTGATTGTTTTAATGAAGAAACAGTATTTACTAAATACATTTTTTGCAACTTCATACTACTAAATCCACCAACAGTTAAAAGAAAATACAATTCTATAGGAAGTTGAAGATGTTTTCCCCAATTGCTCATATTTTCATTCAGTCTATTTCTAAAAATACCAGAATGTTTTTTTAATATCCTATTTTGCGTCACTAGTCCAATTTTTTATTTTTTAAAAATGAATTATTTTCAGAAATAAAGTCTAAAAGAATGAAAGGTAAAGGGGTGGGGGTGGGGTGAGAAGCAAAATGCAAAGAAGGGCCCAGCAGGAAAAGGCTGGTTCCTGGATATTTTCCTTCTGGAGGCATGCTTTACTGGCACAAGCATCTGAAGTAACGAGCCATACAAACAAGACCCAAGAACAAGAATGATCACGAGCAACGAATTTAAGGCATAATTGTCCGTAAAATGGAAATGAATTGGCACTGGTCATCAAGCCGCGCCAGATGCTTCTGGACTTCGTAGAGGAAAGCTAAGAGAGCTAAGAAGCTGATACTATCGCCATCCTTCCAAGACGGTGAGTAACCAAGGAGTAACTACCGTTCAGCAGTCCAATGGAGCCCAAACAGTAGAGAGCACAAGAAGAGAGCAAGTGACTAAGAGGAAGGCACACACGAGAGCCTGAAGATGGGTGTGCAGTGTGCAAATACCGAATGGGTCTATGAGTGGGTGTAGGTGAGGGGATTTGGGAGTGTGTAAGGAGCAATTAGGAGAGGAGCCCCACGGTCCTATCCCTGCAGCAGAGCAACAGAGGGTAAAAGAAGGGGGAGGGTGAAAAGCAAGAATGACTCATTCCAGAAAGGAAGTGCTCAAGCGATAGGAAGACATGCCGTAGAGGGGTTCAGGCACTGGACTGTTAAGAGCAAGGTGCTTCGGGTGATGGGGGCAATAATCAACATCCTGTAGTTCCTGCAGCTCATCTTTAAGGTGGGGGGTGTAAGGGGTTCGCTGCAGCCGAGTGCCAAGGCCTGGGAAGCGGCGCGGCGCGTGCGCAGTGGCGCTCGGCGGGACCCGCTGAGGCAAAGCGGAGCCGCAGTGACAGAAGCGAGCGGAGCGGCTACCTTGAGGGACTCACCGAAGCGCAGGGGCTGGAGGTGGTGCTGGGGGTAGGCGATCGCTGAACCGTGACCAAAGCCATCTAGGCGCTGCTGGGTTGTTCCGGACAGGGCATTCTTGTTCTGAGTGTGGGGGGCTGGAGGGTGACGGAGCCGGGATGGGGAAAGGGTATGGAATGGGGTGAAGGAAAGGGGAAGAAGGAGGAGGACGCTGGAACGGCCGCAGGCTCCGCACCCACCCCTGGACTCCTTCACACTGACGCGCCGAGCGGGCGGCGGGCGGGCGGGCTGGCGGGCGGTTCGGCAGCTGCTGGGCACAATGAGCGCTCCCAGTGCGCAGGCGCCACCTGTCAGCAACCGCCTCTCCCCTCGGCGCGCGCCGCCGCCTCGCCGTAACCCTTGAGCTGCCGGAAGCCGGCCAAAAGTGTGCGCCTCAGGCCGCCGCCCCCTCCCTGGTTTGCTAGTTTTCGTTTACCCGCGCCAGGGATTGCGGAGTACGGTGGGGCGGGGAGGTCAAGGGGGGCGAGTACGGGTTAGGGAATGATGCTAGAATCTCCACTCTTGAGAAACAACCATTTTATGAGGTGGGGCGTGCAGCTTAAGCAACTGTAGTGAGAAGAAACTGAGCTGAAAACCCTGAGAAAAACATTTCTTCGGGTGGAAAAGGACTTCCCGGGGTTTCAGACTCTTTCGTTGGGCGTGGTTAGGGCTAAACTGCCTAGAGACCCTCCTGGCGCGAGTTCACGTCCTTTGGCCCGGCTCTCGGGGACTCTTTTTGAGCTTGCTCACCCTTCTTAGAGATCATTTTTTATAATGAGATTTTTTGGAAGAAAGATTTTAATTTGATACCCTCTAAAGCTTCATGCTACCCTCAAGCTTCCTTCATCACCCTGGCCCCTATCTAAACACTCATTCATTATTCCTGAGGTGAAGAGGAGTTGGGTTCACAGAGTTGTAAGGGTCCATCCTGCTATTTACCTCCCACTTCCTGCTGTGAAAAAATTCTCTTAATCAAACAGTATTTGCTCCTTGCAGCTTCTTCTTTTTTATCTCTAGACAAAATGTTCTACTCTCTAGGCGAAAATGTGCATTAAAAAATATTTTAAAGGAATTATTTTGTAGAACGTACACTGTCCGAACATAAACCAAGAATGTAATGGAAAATCAAGATTAAGAAGGGGAAAAAATTTTTTGCACCATGCAATTATTGATTATTTGCACGGAAAAAGAGAGTTGACAAAGTTAATTCTCACTTTGAATGAATGTACTGGTAAATACCACCATCCATACCAAAGCTGGAGAAAACACACACTCCGAAGTTTGCGAGTATTAAAGCCAACATCTTGTTTGTCACTCAAACACGCTCGGATCTCTTTGCTCCTTTTAAACTGACAGCGCTGTCATGAGCTCTTTTGGCTGCTATATGGTTAAGTGCCACAAGAGCCCTCTGTGCTGAGTCTTTGTTCTCTCCCTAGTGCCCTGTGGTTGAAATAATTAGCAGGGAGGGTCCATCAAGAATCAGACACTAAGGGTCCCTGTATTGTACGGTCCTATGTAGGTATGTTGCAGAAAAGCCAAACGGTAGGCTTTTGCCCCCTGGTGGTGATCAAGAATGCCTGGGAGACAAAATTAAACAAAGATGCATGGTTCAGAGATTGGAACAATCTGACTGTTTCTCCCAGAGCTACTTAGTAAACAGGAAAAGAGAAATCAAGATTCAAAGGTAAGAACTTTGAACCAATGCTTAAGAAACCTAGGAGGAAGCTATATGCATAGCAAGGCAATATATGTAGATGAAAACTGAATGAACTCAAATAAAATATATGTGGTTTATTAACCACAGTATCATTCTAGGAAAGTATTATTCAAATCATTGTTGTTAGTTGCCTTAGAGTCTATTCAGACTCATCAAGCGCCCACATGTTGCATGTTGATTCCTTTACTCACTCAGGGACTACAGTACTGATTATCTACTTTTGTGAAGCAAATACTCTTTAAATTTTTTTGATTCTTTCAACCTTGCAGTGGGAAAGTGTGTTAGTTTAGCAATCAGGAGACCTGGTTTCTAGTTCTAGCTCTGTAACTTTTAAATAAATGGGAACTCTTTGAGCTTTAGTTTCTTCATCTATAGTATGGAACTGCTCCCCTATGACTCACAGAGTTCTTGTGATCGAATGAGGTAATGTATAGCAAAGTACAGTATAAACTGTAAAACCCTGTATGTAATTAAGATAACTTTATTATTCTCTGTTTGTTCCAAGGTTAGTTAGCTTTTGTTGAATGCAACCCATGTGTGGAGTATAGCTTCAAACAAAAAAGCAATAAAAAGAACAGACATTTGTGCCTTTTTTTTTTTAACAGTAGAGGTAGATTAGTAATAAAGTAATGTATCTTCTGTCAGTTTGTGTAGAACATTTTTGTTCAGTATATCTGAGGTGATAAAACTCTGGCCAAAAGTGAATCACAGATACTTAAATTTACATTAAGCTTGTTTGTATTGGGAAGTTTATTTACAGAGGAATACCTGCCTGGTATATAATCTTTTAAAGAAACTAAGATTTGGATAGTATCAGTGCATGTTCATTAATTTATTCACCATTAATTCAGAAAATAGTTATTGAGTGTTTAATATATACTAGACACCGTTTTAAGAACAAAATTTATGTTTATAAACCTCTCAGTGTCTCATAGTCTGTTAGCAGGGAAAAAAGCACAGCAACAAATGATTACAATATAATTTAGCAGTACTGTGACTTCAGTCACCTCTGCTGGGCCCCAAGGGAGATAGACAGATATATGTATAGAAGTCTAGATGTATACAAAGTGCTATAGAAACACAGAAGAGGAAGTCTGAACAAATGTACTCTATTATATTAGCTTTCCAGTTTTGACTGCAGATCTCAGTATAGCCACTTCGTGAATTGACTTGTATCACATGTGAGAATTTAAATTTATGGTCTCTGCTCCATTTATAAGGAGCTCTGGTAGCACAGTGCCTAAGGCATCTGACTGCTGACCAGAAGGTTCGTTGTTCAAACCACCAGCTACTCTGAAGAAGCAAGACTGGGCAATCTACTTCCATAAAGATTTACCACCTCAGAAACCCTATGGGGTCAACTTTTCCCTGGGCTCCTGTTTCTTCTTGGTCTTCTAGTGGTCTCAGGAAGGAGGTATTTACTTCTAATAGAGAGAAGACCCTAGGATCCTCTTACTGCGTGCTAGCTGAATTTGAAAGGAGAGAAGCCAAAAGCAGGATTCCCAAAAAAGGGATCACAAAAGTCCTCCCAGTTCTGTTTTATAGCACCTTCACTTCTCCTACCCGTAATAATGGAGTCCATTTAGTCCTTGTATCATCAATTTTTTCAGGGGTAAAATTATAGGGGAACATTTGAAATCCCTGAGATCACTGGACATAAGGTTTGAGAACCTCATGGAAAATAATGGCCCTCTCTCCAGAGAGACGTACATGCATATTTCACACACCCACTGAAATCCATCCAGGGGTCCCAGGTTAAGAATTCTGGTCAAAAAGGTATACTTGTCTGATAGAGCCTCATGGAACCACTGAGACTATAGTCCCTAGCTGCCCCTTCAGGTCTGGAATTGAACCCATTCCTGTGGCTTCCAGCCAAACAAAAGATAGGCATATGAGCTGAACATTTACATTAGGTGTATACACTTCTTGGGAGAACAGAAGGGCTGTGTGTGCACAGAGAGACAGCTCTAGGGGGCCAGGGGTGTGTGGGAGGGAGGGATATAGAGAAGGGGTGTCTACAGGGAGGAAGTGGGAAGGGAGCTGTTGCATTGTGGGGAATCGCAGTCAATGTCATGAGACAAGATGTATGTGAGCTGATGTATCGAAAGTGAGTTTGCTCTGTAAACTTTCACCCAAATCACAATAAAAATTTTTTTAAAAAAAGGAATTCTGGTCAAAAGGTTAAAACAATGCTTGCCAACCTTTTTCATATGATAAAAAACAGAAATCATATTTGTACAGCACACTGCGATAAATTAGATTTAGGAGGGAACAATATGGGGATTGATGAAAAAAATTATTCTTTATATTATATAATTTTAAAGAAAAAATTAGAATGTCAAGGATGATATTAAATATGTATAAAGCTTCCAACGAGCCCTGGTGGCACAATGGTTAAGCTCTAGGCTGCCAACTGAAAGGTCAGTGGTTTGAATCCACTAGCCACTCTGCAGGAGAAACATGTAATAATCTGCTTCCATAAAGATTTCAGCCTTGGAAACCCTATGGGGCCTATCTATCCCACAGAAATTGACTCAACAGCAACAAGTTGTTTATAAAGCTTCCGAATACAATCTTTTCAAAAGTTTAATGAAAAACCTGAGATAGCTTCTATAAACATAATGTTTTAATATTTACGATTGAAATGGAGTCCCTGGGTAGTTAGTAACATGCTCAACTGCTAACTGGAAGGTTAAAGGTTCAAGTCTACCCAGAGTTGCTTTGGAAGAAAGACCTGGCAATGTACTTTCTAAAACATCAGCTGTTGAAAACCTGATGGAGCAGAGTTCTACTCTGACACACATGGCTGCCATGAATCATAACCAACTCATCAGCAACTGGTATGATTGAAATAACTGCATGCAATTTCAAAACTAGGCAGTTTAACAGTGATATCTTCCAATTTTGGCAGTCATTATTAATGAGAACTTTGTTCATACAAGTAGGTAATAAAAAAAAAATTTTCACAACAGTTCATAATTTACAAGTAAAAATTATATTTGACTCTACTAGCTCTGGTAGCATAGTGCCTACCTAAGGCATTTGACTGCTAACCAGAAGGCTGGTGGTTCAAACCCACCAGCCCCTTCTCAGAAGGAAGGTTGGGCAATCTACTTCAGTAGTGATACTGCCTCGGCAACCCAAGGAGGGGTTGCTATGAGTCTGGGCCGACTCGATGGCACATAACAACAACAACAGCTCTTTACTTCCATTGACAAATGTAATGTGGAAATATGTATGTGGCATATCTTGTGTTATGTAACTGGATGTAGAATCTACTCAAACGGTTTTCATATTGCAAAATAATGACAAAGCTCTAATTTGCAGAGTACATCTGTTATTAGAGCAATCACTGCAGCTAACTTGGCCATAACTAAAAAGACACATCAGCTGTAAACATAAGGAAGAATTCAA